TTTGTTTTATTCATTTTTGTAAGCGATCAAGCAATCAATTTTAGACAAAAGTTTTTCGAATCATTCATTTTCCGCCAAAAAAATGAACCCTATATTCAATTTTATGAAAACAGCCCTTAACTTTGGCTTCGTTTATTTAACAAAAAACGAATGATTTAGGAAATATTTTTCCAATTTTATCGCTTGAAATAATTAGTCAATGGAAAATATTTTCATTATCAACAATATTTATGTCTAAATATTTTCGTAAATGGCAAAAATAATTTTCATTCATACATTTTTATAAACGATACCATCATTTAAAAAAAATTATATAAATCATTTATTTCCGTGAAACATTAGAAGCTTTATGTCTAGCTTTACCAATAATCAGATAGAATAAATCTGCTTTTGATTTTTTGAGTGAAGCAAAAAGACCATAGCGTACTATCTAATATTAGTGAAATCTTTTTAATGAAGTTTGCCGTTTTTGAAAGACACAAGACTAACAGTTTTAGTATTTCAATAAAAGTTGACCTGGAATTTAATATTAACAAAAGATGAGATTATGCAATAAAAAAAAATACATGTAGTCCGGGCCTAAGCCCAGCTTTGCACTCACATATACATAAGAGGGGGGGCCTATGAAAAGAGGACATGGCAACAACTCCGCTCCCGTAAAAACATTTATCCGGGCTCTGATTCACAGGAGCGAGTCTATCACAATCATTGATTAATCATGGAAGTGTAAGACCCACATGGCCAACGGCTCAAATGGACCTGGTCCAATGAACAAGAGTTTTATCAGATGTGATCACAATAGAAGAACTACTCCAAAAGTCTTGGTTGTATTTGTTTGAGGATTTTTCCCATGGGATTATGTTCGAGGATTTCTTCTTCTATATTACTTAAAATTATGTCAAATTAAGGAACAATTTAGAAAAATCGATAAAAAAAAATCTATTGCTGAATTTTTGCCTCCAAAGGGAAGGGGCTCCGCGGGGTACAATCGCCCCGCTAGCCATAAATAATTGTTGTCGTACATATTAGCAAAACATAAGCGTGACAATGTATGGTAGTGATATTGTGTTCATTGGAGTTTTTCTTTTAAATAATTTGAATTAACTCTTTTTATTCTTCAAAGTTTTTTTTTCGGTAGAAAGATTATATTTTATTATGAATTTCTCATCTCTATGACCTCTTTTGGTGTCGGAAAATTAACCGGTTTCATGAAACGTCGCCCATCTAGAACAATGAATTTGAAGTGACGCGGCTTTACTTCCTAAGTTAAATCGTAAATTTTCCCTTACAGACTCAATTGTTCCATATATGCTCATTATTGTTCAAATGTCGGTCCGTTTTGTTGCTCTGGAAAGATACTTCTGAAATTTAACTAAGCCCTCATTATCTAAATAAAAAAAACAATCAATAAATATTGCTTTTAAGTACAATAGTTTCTTCCTTTCTAAAATTAGAAACAAAATTCAATCCCCTTAGGTCGACACAATTGACTGAGACCTTAAGAAATTACCACCCAGGAATTGAAAAGGTCACATGTTCAAATTTTACCAATTCGTGCAATATGTTTTTTTTGGTTGGAATTTGTGCAATATGTTCAAATCAGGGTTTACCTACACAAGCCAAAAAGCTCTAATGCCCAGATCCCCCGCATAGCAACAAAACAATGACTTGCAGATCTTAAAATCTTTTCGCCACCCACCCACCTTCTATGGTGGCTCACAAACTCTTATTAAATTTTTTTAAAATTCATTAGGGTCGTTCGAGCGTGCATGTGGGAGAGTGAGAAAGAGAGAGAGACAGAGCAATAGCGTCTCATGTGGAGCGGCATTTAGGGCATGTGATGTGGGGAGGTCGAGCCAGGATTTGGATAGCGGGTCGGCGACAAGGTTATTTCGGGGAAACATATAGCGATGTGCTAAGCAAAACCCTCGTTATTTATCGTAGCGTCTGATCACATAGATGATGGTGCGAACAAGTTTCGGAAAGAAAATGAAGGGAAATGAAGGTGGGAAAAGAAGAAAGCGTGGCTTCGAAGGGAAAAAAAACTCAGTAGGGTTTCGAACATTTTCCACCAAATTGGTAAAGTAATTCTCTTCCGACGGCATCATTGCGATGATTGGGAGGAGTTGAAAAGTGATCGTGCGAAATGAGAGGATTGAACCACCAACTTCAACCTTTTTTTCAACCCCGTGAAGGAAGGAACCGTTGACTTCCGTCCGATAGCAAAAGGACAAAGCAAACCCGCTGCTAATTGGACAGAAGAAAAAAGAAACTCAAAAAATCACGTATTCCAAAAGGTTAATAGCACGAAAAAATTCAAATTGATATACCCTAAATTAATTTTTTGATCACAAAAAACCTTAAAATGGTGCACCTGTGGCAAATTTAGGGACCACAGTCAATTATTCTAAAAGTTTAAACTGTTAGATGAAGGAGTGGTTTAATATTTAATTACTCTAACACTTCCCCTCGGGCTTAGTCTGGTCTTTTTACCTAGTACTAAGTGTGGACATATTTAATTGGGGAGGCAAATGGGGCATGGTAAGGTTTAAACTCAAGACCTCAAGCTCTGATACCATGTGAGATTTGGTGGGACCACAACCAACTATTCTAAAAACTTAAACTGTTAGATGAATGTGTTGTTTAATATTTAATTACTCTAACGGTGTCATCTAACTCAGCAATTTGACCGTAAAATTTAACGGAGATTAACGGAGGGTAAATTTGTCACGGGTGTACTAGTTCGAGGGTTTTTGCGGTTAAAATATTAGTTTGAGTAAATTTATCACATGTATATCAGCTTTGGGTATTTCATGGTATTAACCCTACTCCAAATAATGTTTATTTCATGTAAAATAGTTTCATATTCCTAAAGTTTTAATTATATGTTATGTGAGAATAGTCCATGTACATTTTTAAAATTACTTCAGTCGATTACTCGACAGGAATTTCTAATGCATTTGTCAATGAAATTCTCATAGTTTTTGCTTTTACTACTTGTTCAAAATTGATGCCAAAAGCCCCTAAAAATTGGTTATACAGTTAAGCATTTGTTTAGATACGGGAGATCACTTGTTTAAATCACGTCCTCTCTCGCCAAAAGTATAAAAGGCACACTCACGACTGTATGGGTGGAATCTTACTAAATGTTTGTGGATGATACAATATATGCCCATTCGTGAAGAGTAGTCGAATCAAAAAGTTGAAATACTTCTTTTTATCGAAGAGAAATCAAAATCGCTTTACTAAAACTAGAATTATTAGAAATGCTTTCAAGAAAAAAGTTGTCGCTTAACCCATCGATGAACAATCGATGTAATCGGTGTCTAATTATCTTCGCGTTTATTCACCGATCTAAAACTTAGCACTTGTTCTTTTTTATTGATTCCAGGGGCACCGCTACTTGCCGCCTTTTAGACCGGTAAAAATCTAAGTATTGTTTCAAGGTGAAGCCCGTTTGAAGGCAAGTCATGATATATTGGTTCGGACATCAAAAGAGAAAGCAGGGCCTAATATTAACGAGTAATTATATATATATGTCTGTTTTTAATAAATCTTACTATAACTTATCAAACAACATGATGATATCCTATTGAGTGTTTAAGGAAGTTCGATTCACACGTCCGACTTGTTTCAATATCCAGCTAAAAACTTGCTACATTGCTTATTAAGTAAGTTGTTGTAAAATTTCTTAACACATCTCCTATTTTTCGTAATCCAAGAATGTAATATAGCCATGAGGGGGTGCCCTTCTTGATTTTCTTGTGTTTTCTTAAGGGTTAAGATTGAGATTCTCCTCCTAGTCTTTTGGCCAAAAGTCATCTGCCCTTGACTTTAATCTTTTACTACCCTCACGGGGCGTGTAGCGCAATTAGTAGTGCTGCTTTGACCCCACCCATCCATGTGCAGCAACAAGCAAGCTTCGAACCCTCCAACTCACGTGAGGTACGGTTCCTCCTAGCCCCACGTGAGTGGTTTTATCCGTTGTAATTGATGCGAGTGAGGATTAGACCAATCAAAAAAGGTCATATATTCATATTTTAGGCCGTAATTGATGAGTTGAGTTACTAGATGAGTCGATTATATTTGATAAATGAGTCATAAGTAGGTTTAGAATGGTAATGGCCAAAATAACATGAGTATTAAATGGGTCACAACTTATTTAGATCCAATCTACCTCTACAACTTGCTCTTCACTCTCTCTCGCCCTTATTCGATCATGCGCTTGCTCACTTTATGCTCTCACCTTAATTTGTGTATGGGTTTTCGAAGTGTTTTAGCCATATGAATCGGGTCGAGTATGTATTGGGTATGATTTGGGTTGTATATGGGTCATTAGATTTATCTTGCGTGAAAATGTGTCAAAACGGGTTAAAATGGTCATTATGTATCGTACCCGTTTGACGAGTCTAGTAAGGACGGAAGGGGTAACCCTCGCGGTCTAAAAAAAAGCTTTTTACTCCATGAAGAAGATCACTATAGTAAGAGAGAAATACATAAACGGTAAATCTATAATTTTTTTTTTCATTTTTTAGGGAGGGCGAATAAAAATTTAGGTTAATACTACAGAAATTCCAAAATTATGCTCACTGTAACATAAATGCCTTGATTTTTTTTGTCACTGACAACCCTAAACTTGCCAAACTTTCTTCGTGTAATAAAAAGCCCCAAAATTATACCAAAGATGGAATTGAAATAGATGGTATATATGATTTTTTATTGACACAAAAAAAATTGAGAATATTTGTATCACAGTGGATATAGTTTGGATTTTTTTTTTTGTGGTATTCGCCCTAAAAACTTATAGTCGAATTTGGTAAGTAAAGAAACCCAATGCCTAAACAGTGGGGCCCCGGTCCATTAGAGGTCACAATTGTAATTTTACATGGTTTACAAAACAAGATCAATTTAACACTAAATATTTTTTTAACAATTTAATTTCTAATGCACAGTACAGTGCAGACTAAACTCCAAGATCTCCATATGTAATACTTCAGACAGAGAGAGAAAGAAGGACAGAGGGACAGAGAGACAGAGAGATGGCTTCCTCCAGAGGAATTTCCGCCCTTCTCGCCCTGTGCGTCCTCTTCCCCACCGACGTTGCTCGACCGGAAGCGAGGGAGCTGCGGCCCTCCGATCACGGGCTGCAGTTCCAGGATCCGCCGCCCGCCGGGGCGAAGCCGTCCCCGGAGATGGCGTCCTTCTTCGGGGCGCCGCCGTCCCCTCCCAACTCGTCCGCGTCGTCGTCTCCGGCGGCGCCGCTCCCGGACGCGACGGGCTCGAGCGACGACTTGGGGTGGCGAGGAGCCTCGTACGGCGGCGACGGCGGGGAAGCAGGGAGGAGGAGGAGGAGGAGAGATCGCGTGAGAGGGGCGCTCCTGGTGGCGAGCATCGTGTGCGGGATCGCCGGCGTCGCCCTGCTGTTCGCTTCCGGGCTGGTTTTTCTCTTCAAGTTCCGAAAGGAGAGGAGGTCCACAGCGGCGGCGGCGGCGGCGGCTCCGCCTCCCCCTCCGCTCCGGCCGCCGCTGCCGCTGCTGCTTCCGCCGCCGCCGCCGGCGTCCGGGCGGTCGGGAGATTGTAAGAAGTGAACCCGGTTTGCGGTTATCATTGCTGTCGATGGTAGTGCTGTAGTCGATTCTTGCCAAACGTCATGTAAATTATGTGAAGAATATCACCAAAATTATTCATTACTCCAAAGAAAAAAAGCAACCTTGCTATGATAACGCCGGTTCCTTTCTTCTTGACTTTGGTTTTCTCTTGTCTTATTTATTTTTTTTTCATTATAATTTCCGTTTCAGCTGTATACAAAAAGCCTTTTATTAAAAGTTTTTTTGGGGATTAGCATGACACAAGTCCGATTTTCCATGCTCTCCAATGCAATATATTTTATTTTCATGTCCACTGAATTCGAAGTCGATTCGGCATTTCATTGCTTCAAAAGAAAAACACTCATCTGTCTATAAAAATAGAGTTTATTATAGTTATTGATTACGTGGGTCGCCCACGATAGAAGTGATTATTTTCAGGGTGGGCTGGTTCCTACCTTAAAATCGAGAACTGGCCCACCTAGTTTTGAAACCTTCGGTTTCTGAATGGGTTCAGGAATCGGCGTGATTTTTTTCTTTCTTTTTTTCGTATTCCAGGGTAGGGATTAGAATACTGGAATTGGATAAGGGATTGGAAAGAAGTTGTTTTTGAACTCATGCTGGGAATGGAACACTCTTGCAAAGTGCAAGAGTCTCTATGAACGTTGTTTTTGTTCTCTTCTCTAGCCTTTTGGACAATAAAAAAATAATTATCGGTCTCGTTCGAATGATTCAGGTTGGAGTCGGAAACTGGACCGATTATCACCGGTTTCAAATTTCAGGAATTGGATACCTTCCAAAATCGATCGGGTTGGTCCGGTTTCCGTGCTCACCCTTGCTCCATGATGCCAGGTTTGAGCTTAATGAACGCAGTTCGGTCAACTCGGGATTTATATCTTAATCGGATTCCGTTTGGCCGAAACTCTTCTTTTGGTAATTTAAAGTCGTGTTGGGTACCTTTACGTAATGTCCGGTCAATTTCAGGGAATGACGTGGTCCGCACTCCTCATGTTGTAAAGCTCCCAACTTACGTAAGCCTTCGAGGACTCATCATATATGAAGTAATTCATATGGAATTCCACGTGTGATTATTCTTAGCACGATTATGTTTCACTTTTTTTTTTTTCGAAGATCATGTTTTACTTCATCCTTCACTTTTCCAACCAATTTTTTTAATGAATTAATACGAAAAACTCCAAACTGGTACATCTAAAATAAATTTATCAAAAACTAATTTTGATTACAAAAAATCTTAAACTGGTACATCTGTGACAAATTTACCCTTCGTTAGTTCCCGTTAAATTTTACTGTCAAATTTCTGAGTTAGATGACACGTGGCAGTTGACGGGTGTACCAGTTTTGGGTTTTACTCTTCCGTTATTCACATATTTACCAATTTATGATTTTTCGTAATATTAATCCAATTTAACAGATGGTAAATTTGTCACAAGTGTACATGTTTGGAGATTTTGGAGGTAAAAAAATTAACTTAGGGTAAAGTTGTCACATGTGTGTACTAATTTGAGATTTTTTGTGATCAAAAAATTAATTCTGGGTAAATTTATCGCATGTGTAACAGTTTGGGGTTTTTTGTAATATTAATCATTTTTAAATTGATGAATTACAAACTTAACTATCGTCAAAATTTATATTTAGTTCCAAAATTTTGAGGAACGCGCACCGTGATTTTCAATAAGCGAGTTTTTTTTTTTTGATCGAAACAATAAGCGAGTTTAGTAGTTTATTTTTTAAGTCAAAATATATAGAAAATGCTTATGATTGTAAAGGCTCTTCTCCAATCAAGTAAAATCATGATTTTTGCTTACCTCGAATTTTCGCTGGGGTTTAGATTTCCTCGTAATTTCCGATTGTCACTTCTTGTACATAGAATCAGTATAGGTCAACACACTCCACCAGATCCTCCCTTCATGCACTTTGCGCCCGCTATACGAAACCAGGAAGAGCCTTCGATCGCTTCTTGTCGACCGAAGTTCAGATCAACATTTTCTGAGACCGATGAGTGATCGACGAAGGGACACGCAAACCGTCACAATGTCAGCCTTAATTAGCTTGGCTAGCCGCTGCGGAAAGAAAGCATTTGGCACTTATCCGTCAAAATGTTTTTATTTCTAATTGTCACTGCCATGTGACCTGTACCATTCCTTTGGAAATTTGTGGAGGGGAAAAAATATATTTTTTCTTCTCCTTATTTATATGTTAGAGACTGCAAACTATCGCCCTATTAATTATTTCCTTATAAACGGTCGCTAACATAATTATTCTCCGTTAGAAAGCAATTCACTTTTGTTTATTTACCAAAAGCATGACTACTAATTGATCTTGGCGTAAAAGGTAGAATCTGATTTTCTTTTACTTTCTCACCAAAATTTAAATGTTATCGAAATTTCAAAAAATTATTGAAAATCTTGTACAAACCTGCGTTTCAATGTTCGCATGTTACGAAAAATTTATGATATTTCGAGCTTAGAAAAGTCGAAGTGCATATACCGTAAAACGAGAATTAGAAATTGAAAATCAATCCAGAAACAACTTAATATATGCATGAGTGAATGCGTGTAAATATTAGGAGGAAAAAAGAATTAAAGGAATCGCAATTGCTAATTAAATGACTGAAATAGAAAATTAATACAGAAGATTGGGCGGGAAAAAGTGCCGTTGTCCAAGCCAGAGAAAACCCTCGTCCCAAGTTTGCTATGTTATGCTCTGTTCTGTTGCGTCTCCCTCGCTATTCTCCTCTCTCCCCTGTCTCTCTCTCTGTCTCTGTCTCTGTCTCTCTAATTCTGAGCAATTCTCGTTGCTCTGCTCTGAACTCTGTCTCTTGCTACCGATCACTGCTCGTTGCTCTGCTCTGGACTCTGTCTCTTGCTACGATCACTGCTCTCTTTGGGGCTCTGAGCAATCCTTGTTGCTCTCAATTCAATTCTCTCTCTTGATTCGGAGGGTTTCTCTGTTTCCCTCTCCGGGCAATCCTCTGAATCTGAGCAATTCTCGCTGCTCTGCTCTGGACTCTCTCTCTTGCTGCGATCACTGCTGCGGATTGTTGCTCTCAATTCAATTCCCTCTCTTGATTCGGAGGATTTCTCTGTTTCCCTCTCTGGGTATTCCTCCCGTTGTCCAACCATGAATCCGACGATCGTGATGCCTGTCCACGGCATTCCAGTTGCCAAGAGTTAGTCTCGTTCAAAACCCCCACTTCCGTCTTTCTTTCTTTCTTTCTTTGTTTTGTGGGGTTGGATTTTGTTGATGATTCTTTTTTTCTTACGGGTCTCTACAAGAAAGAACTTGAACTGAAGCAGATTCGCAATTTTCTGGGCCCTAGATCGCGCATCAGGTTAGGGCACCTCAGATAGTATGTCCTTTTTTGCACTGCTCTGTTTCTTGTTCTCGCCCTTTTCTTCTTTTTTCTTGCATCATTATTTCAAATTCTCCTTTTAATTTCAATTTCCGAAGGGTATTATGATCTTGCTTACTCTGTTTTTTTCTGATGGGTTTTCTGACCAGTTACCAACACCAACCGCTGGATGCCAAGATTTATCCGAATAAATTTCTCCAAAGCCACGTAGAAGAGAAAAATCCAGCCAGTGTAAGTATATTGCCAACAAGACCCATCCCGTGTTGTTCTGATGACGCTAATTTACGTGCAGATGTTCCTGTGGAAGCCTATGAGTACGTTGATGATATATCCGCCTTCTACAAATCGGAAGAGGAAGAGGTGAACTATCTATAGGCTGATTATGTTCCAATTCGATGAGTTTACGCTGAAATTGTGCTGAGTCACTGAATTGGGTATTATGCTCCGTGCAGAAATCTATGTGCATAAAACCCAATGTGGTTGCTGTTGCGAAATTCAAATTGGCATTAGTATAAAAATCACAAACAATACAGAATCGCAAATAAACGAAATTGTAATAACAAAGTTGGAATCGATACAAATGAATACCGAGACTGTGTTTGACACAGTTTCCTTAAAACAGATTCGTTCCCTTCGGGACGCGTCGAGGTTTCGTGAACGTCTGTCTCCCGGGATACAACGGTTGATTGCTAAGAAGTAATCGAGACTTCAAAGCTTCCGGCGAACTTGAACAAATTGCGGAACTGAACACTATCGAAAACCGTGCAAATGCAGAGAATATAAAACGGAGGAAGAATGATTTCGATAAAATAGAATGCAGGGGAGAGCATTTCGGGAATAATAACGGCCGATTGAAACTGTCGTTACAAAATCAATACGAATAACGGACGATTAAATCTACCGTTATAAAATCAATACGAATAACGGACGATTAAATCTGCCGTTATAAAATCAATACGAATAACGGACGATTAATTGCCGTTATAAAATCCATACGTTACGAAATTCGTGAATAGTTTGAGTTGAAAAAAATAAATCGAAGGCAAAATTGGGCTCGTCGCAAGGCCCACTTTTCGGTCCGCAATCGTGTACGCGGGATGTGCGCTCGCGCCCAAGTTTCAACTTGTCGGGCGTTGGATTTGCACCCCTGCGTGCGCGAGGCAGAGAGAGTTTGTGCTTATGATAGTTACCACTTCAAATAAGTGTAACTGTATATAAAGCACTCCATAGCTTTCTTTCTTTTCCGATGTGGGAATAGTATTTTTCACTTCCCACTTCCAACTCAAGGGTGTTCTTTGAGCATCAATTTCTCATTCATTCACCCATCAATTTATCCCATATTTCCAACAATCCCCCACATGAATGAAAATTGTTTTAGTTTTGACTCTGTGATAGTGTTCAACAATTGAAACCTGCATAGGATAGGTAGGTGTTACCCTTTGAACCTTTCCTTGTGAAAGTATATTTACTTTACTAGTTGTCCAGTAGACATGATGTCCTTGAACTGTCCAATTTTCTTATGTAAATGAACCATACACTTCACACGGAATCATCTAAACGTTTGTTCAGTTCTCATAGTTATGTTCGTTTTGGCCATGAACATCAACCTGGTTCTGCAAGAGTTTCTAAAGAATTTAGCCCTTAAATAATTCTCCTTTGAAGCGGCCCCACTTCTCTCTCACATAGGTGATTACTTAATTTTGAGTAATTTGTTTACTCCACTTAAGAATCATTAAAGCAAAATGCTATCCTTTCCATTACAATATCACTGTTATTTTATATAGGAATGGTTTTAGGGATAACCCCCACAGTGACATCACTAAGTTTATATAATTACGTTGTCCCTTTGAACCTCGATCTTGGGATCTCCAGTCAACTAGGTTGGGTTTCCTTTATACCAACTTATTTTTTCATGGGCTTCAGTCCCATTCCTCTTGTCGATTTCTCAACTAACTCTCTGTTTAACCCTTTGGTTAGCGGATCCGCAATATTATCCCTTGACTTTACGTAGTCAATAGAGATAATTCCTGTTGAGAGTAGTTGTCTAATGGTATTATGTCTACGACGTATATGTCTAGACTTACCATTATACATATTACTCTGTGCTCTTCCAATCGCAGATTGGCTATCACAATGTATACTTATTGGTGGCACAGGTTTTTGCCATTTTGGAATATCCTCTAAGAAATGGCGTAGCCATTCAGCCTCTTCACCACATTTATCTAATGCTATAAATTCAGATTCCATTGTGGATCTGGCTATAACGGTTTGTTTACAGGATTTCCAAGATACGGCTGCTCCTGCTAGTGTGAATACATATCCACTAGTAGATTTTGGGTCTTTTATATCAGATATCCAGTTCGCATCACTATATCCTTCCATAACAGCTGGATATCTGGTATAATGCAGGCCATAATTCCGAGTATATCGTAAGTACCTGAATACTCTCACTATTGCTTTCCAATGGTCAGCACTCGGATTGCTTGTATATCTACTTAATTTACCAATCGTATAGGCAATGTCTGGTCTAGTATAACTCATTAAGTACATTAGACTTCCAACAACTCTAGAGTACTCTACTTGAGAAATACCCTCTCCTCTATTCTTGGAAAGATGAAGACTATTGTCTAATGGTGTTCTAGTAATACCAGAATCATTCATGTTGAATTTTTCAAGAATCTTGTCCACATAGTGTGACTGGTTTAAAATAAGACCTTCTGATGTTCTTGTGATTTTAATTCCTAAAATCATATCAGTAGGTCCCATATCTTTCATGTCAAATCTTGAATTCAACATATACTTGGTAGATTTGATCATTTTATCATCACTACCAACAATTAGTATGTCATCTACGTAAAGACACAAAATGACATGGCCATTTGTTGTCTCTTTAATGTAGACACATTTATCACATTCATTGATCTTAAAACCATTGGTAATCATTGCATTATCAAACTTTTCATGCCACTGCTTTGGTGCTTGTTTTAGGCCATACAATGATTTTACCAATTTACAGACTTTCCTTTCTTGTCCTGGAACTATAAAACCCTCAGGTTGTTCCATGTAGATTTCTTCATCCAAATCACCATTTAGGAAAAAGCTGTTTTTACATCCATTTGATGTACTTCGAGATTTCGCAATCTTGCAATTGCAAGTATCATCCTAATGGAAGTTATTCTCGTCACAGGAGAATAAGTATCGAAGTAATCTAAGCCTTCTCGTTGTTTGTATCCTTTGATCACAAGTCTGGCTTTGTACTTATCAATAGAGCCATCTGCTTTCATTTTCTTTTTAAAAATCCATTTGGACTTTAAAGGCTTACAACCAGGAGGAAGATTCACTAGCTCCCAAGTATGATTCTGCAAAATAGAATCAACTTCACTTTTTATTGCTTCGTTCCATAGAGGTCCCTCAGAGGAATTCACAACTTCTGCATAATTTAATGGTTCCTTTTCTAACAAATAAGTTAGAAAATCATTTCCAAAAGATTTTTCCACTCTTGCTCTTTTGCTACGTCTCGGTTCTAGTTCATGATCTGAGTCATGAATTTCATGAGCCGAATCGTGACTTTCTTCATTCATAGTTTCATTCTTTCGTTTAGATGAACTTGATCCATCATTGGATTTACAAGGAAATACATTTTCAAAGAATGATGCATTCCTAGATTCCATGATCGTATTCTTGTGTATATCTGAAATTTTTGATTCATGCACAAGAAATCGATATGCATTACTGTTATGTGCATAGCCTATAAAGATACAGTCCACCGTTTTAGGACCTATCTTCTTTGGTGTTGGAACCGCCACTTTTGCAAGACACCCCTATACTCGTAAGTGTTTGTAAGATGGTCTCCTACCTTTCCATAACTCATAAGGGGTTTTATCCTCTTTCTTTCGAGGTACCTTATTTAAAAGGTAATTGCTTGACAATATAGCTTCTCCCCACATATTTTGAGGCAAACCTGAATTTAGTAATATCGCGTTCATCGTTTCTTTCAATGTGCGATTTTTACATTCAGCAACACCATTTGATTGAGGAGAGTAAGGCGCAGTTATTTCATGTATAATTCCGTGTTGTGCACAGAATTCACCAATTGGTACTTCGTACTCGCCACTTCTATCACTTCTCAATCTTTTAATTCTCTTATTAAGTTGATTTTCAACTTCATTCTTATAGAGAATAAATTTCTCTAAGGCTTCATCTTTGCTTTTAAGCAAATACACATAACAGTATTTAGTGTTATCATCGATAAAGGTAATAAAATATTTATTACCACCTCTCGTTGTACGAATTTCAAATCGCAAACATCACTATGAATTAATTCAAGGGGTTCGGTGTTTCTTTCAATTGTTTGAAATGATGATCTCGTTAATTTTGCCTCAACACAAATTTCACATTTATGTTTTGAATCAATTTGAAATGAAGGTATATGTTCCAAGTTAATTAATCTACGCAATGTATCATAATTAACGTGTCCTAGTCTACCATGCCATAAATTGGAAGACTCAAGCAAATAAACGGAAGACTTATTATCTTTATTGATAATTGTCATTACATTGAGCTTAAAAAGCCCATCAGTTACATATCCCTTCCCCACATATATTCTGGATTTAGACAAAATAACTTTATTTGACTCAAATACCATACGAAATCCATGCTTGTTCAACAGAGACCCAGAAACCAGGTTCTTTTGGATTTCTGGCACATAAAGAACATTGTTTAGAGTCAGCTCTTTTCCTAAGGTCATCTTCAGCAACACCTTCCCTTGGCCTTCGACAGCAGAAGAGGCAGAGTTTCCCATAAAAACCTTTTCCCCATTAATTGGTTCAAGATTTGTGAACAGGTCCTTATTGGAGCATATGTGCCTAGTAGCACCAGTGTCAATCCACCATTCCTTCGGATTGGACCCAACTAAGTTTACTTCAAAAACCATTGCAGAAAGGTTTATGTTTGACACGTCTTGAGTGATGCCACTCACCATATTTGTCTCATAATTCTTCTTCTTCGGAAGTCTGCATTCCATAGATCTATGCCCCATTTTACCACAGTTGAAGCATTTTCCTTGAAACTTGTTCTTGGAAACTCCTCCTTTTGGTCCCAACTTTGGCTTGGCAATCTTCTTGTTCTTGTGGCCTTGCCTAAGTTCCACAACATTTGCCTTAGCTGTAGTAGGATTGAACCCTTTGCGTTCAAATCCTCTATTGTCTTCTTCAATTCGAAGTCTAACAATCAGCTCTTCCAGGTTCATTTCCTTTCGCTTATGCTTGAGATAGTTCTTGAAATCCTTCCACCCAGGAGGTAGCTTTTCAATAATAGCAGCCACTTGGAAGGTTTCACTCAAGATCATTCCCTCAGCCAGAATTTCATGCAAGATCACTTGAATTTCTTGCACTTGACTGATCACAGTTTTAAAGTCCACCATCTTATAATCAAGGAATCGACCGACAATAAATTTCTTTGCTCCGGCATCCTTTGTTTTATATTTCCGATCCAAGGCTTCCCATAACTCCTTTGCCGTCGTTTTTGCACAATAGACATTGTACAATGAGTCATGTAAGCCATTCATGACATAGTTCCGACACGGGGAAGTCGAGTGCTTCCATGCTTCAACAAAGACCGAAGACTTGCTTATCCGTTTCTCCATTGGATAACTTAGGAGCTTCCTCAGTCAAGAATCTCGCAAGATTCAAAGTTGTCAAATAAAACAACATCTTTTGCTGCCACCTTTTGAAGTTCGATCCGTCGAACTTTTCAGGTTTCTCACCATGGTGGATAGAAACCGCAGAAGGAACAGAGGATGAGCCAGATAGTTGGACAGCTGAGGCATAGGCAGAGTTTTTGGTGATGTCGTTAGCAGCCACATCGACACCATCGTTTCCAGCAACCACATCGACGACTTCTTTACCAGTAGCCATTTGAATTTGTATAAACATGAATCTGTTTTAAGATTGTTGCGAAATTCAAATTGGCATTAGTATAAAAATCACAAACAATACAGAATCGCAAATAAACGAAATTGTAATAACAAAGTTGGAATCGATACAAATGAATACCGAGGCTGTGTTTGATACGGGTTTCCTTAAATGCAGATTCGTTCCCTTCAGGACGCGTCCGAGGTTTCGTGAACGTCTGTCTCCCGGGATACAACAGGTTGATTGCTAAGAAGTAATCGGGACTTCAAAGCTTGGCGAACTTGAACAAATTGCAGGAACCGAACACTATCGAAAACCGTGCAAATGCGAGAGAATATAAAACGGAGGAAGAATGATTTCGATAAAATAGAATGCAGGGAGAGCATTTCGGGAATAATAACGGCCGATTAAATCTGTCGTTACAAAATCAATACGAATAACGGACGATTAAATCTACCGTTATAAAATCAATACGAATAACGGACGATTAAATCTGCCGTTATAAAATCAATACGAATAACGGATGATTAATTCTGCCGTTATGAAATCCGCACGTTACGAAATTCGTAACAGTTTGAGTTGAAAAAAAAATAAATCAGAAGGCAAAATTGTGCTCGTCGCGAGGCCCACGTTTCGGTCCTGCAATCGTGTACGCGGGATGTGCGCTCGCGCCCAAGTTTCAACTTGTCGGGCGTCGGATTTGCACCCCCCCTGCGCCTGCGCGCGAGGCAGAGAGTTTGTGCTATGATAGTTACCACTTCAAATAAGTGTAACTGTATATAAAGCACTCCATAGCCTTCTTTCTTTTCCGATGTGGGAATAGTGTTTTTCACTTCCCACTTCCAACTCAAGGGTGGTCTTTGAGCATCAATTTCTCATTCATTCACCCATCAATTTATCCCATATTTCCAACAGTTGCTAGACTGAAGCTCGGCATCGACAAGAAGTTGAGAGCATGTATTGTCGAGTGGTTGATTGAGGTACTAAGGAGTTCCTTTTTTATTTCTTGTGTTGTACTTTTGATTCACATTACTATACATTATTATTCAAACAAGGACTAGAATAATGGCTTGAGTTCAAGAGGATTTCACGACATTTCTGCTATGAATTTTTGCAATATCTGCAATGAAATTGCGGTCACACAACTGTATGTTTTCTCCCAAATTGGGAATCTATTTCACAGTTATGAAAAATTGGCAACTTTACTGACTTTCTTACTGAATAATTAGGCACACAAGCTGTTCAAGTTCCCAACCGAGACTCTGTATCTTGCCATCAATCTTTTCGATCGATTTTTGGCCGTTCATCCAGTGGAAAAGAAGAAATTGAGTTTGGTTGGAGTAACCGCCCTGCAGTTGGCTGCTAAGTATGCTGGAATAAGAGAATCGATCCCTTGTGTCTATTTGTTTTCCCACCTGGCACTTACTTCGTGCCCTGTGAAGAAGATTTCGTGCTCTGCAGAGCAGATTCTAGAAATGGTAGGCGAAATACCCATTCTTTTTTTGTTTCTGTTTCTCCATTAACTTTTCTTTTTTACATAATTCTCTTTGTCCTTTGGCATTATGCAGGAGTATTTGATCTTGAACAGCTTAGAGTATGGATTGTCAATCCCAACTCCGTCCACATTTATGTGGAAGTTCCTTAAGGAAACTCAATCTGATGATAAGGTACTCGGTTTCTGTTAATGTTATTTGATGTTGTTATGAATCGATCTTATGACAATAGTATAGAAAATGATAAGCTTCTTCTTCATCGATCTCTGCATAGTTCAGTGTGGAGCGCTCACATTTCGACCTTCTGTATTGGCTGTCGCTGCACCGCCCCTGCCACTGTTGAAGGGTGTAAGCCATCCAGCAAAATCTATGAGCAGTTAACCGGTTGTAGTGCCCAAACAATCTTGTAAGTAGCGGGGAACTTCAATTATTGTTTATTACATCATTCATCTTTTCGTTTATATCGACGTAGGAATCTGATGGATTATTTCCTTTTGGCTACTTTTCCTTTGTGTAGGAAATGCTCGAGACTGATGGTGACTTCCCATCAAAAAGCGAGGAGTGTCAGGAGTGTGTATAAGTACAACACGAGGGGATACCAGTGGGTAGCTAGAGCTGAACCGGCTCGGTTGCTCTTGACCGAATTTAGCAGGGCCAGGGTCTTCATCTTTAAGCTTATTTTGTTTCTCCTTAGAGACCGGTAACAATATTTGGTTTTAGAGTCTTTGTACTCATTGATGATTCGAGTGTATCGTTCAAAGCTCTTGAATGGAAAGTTGCTTGTTCTCGGCTGTGAAAATCTATAATTTGCTAGTGTTGTTTTCATGCGAACAAGTTCTTAATTTTTGAAGGTCTACATGGTTTTGTTTAATTTGGTTTACCGCTCACAAATAGATGAACTCTTCCAATGTGCTATTCATCTACTGATGTAAATGTACCTTTAGAAATCACAGCCACAACACCTCTGCAACTTATTCTTCTTTTTCTTCAGGAGAGGACAGTTAGGCTTGATATGTCCTCGCTTTTTGCACTCAACGCAGACCGCGTCTCTATTTTCTTCTCTGTCATCGAAGCTTTTCTTCTGCTCAGATGATCTGAAGGGCTTCTTTCCCTTGAACTTCTTTCCTTTTCTGGCCATTTTGCGAAACTTCTTTACCATAAGGGATATCTCCTCGTCGTCTTCCTCGTCATCTTCAGAGTCTGAATCATCAGAATCAAAGTTAGATTTTAAAGCTAAAGCTTTCTTACTTTTGGTGTCCTCTTCATCATTCTGACGCTCCACTTCATAAGATTGAAGTGTTCCCATGAGTTCGTCTAATGATAGTGGAGAGCCTCTGTGCCTCACGAATAGATGTTTTGATAGTATTCCACTCCTTTGACAGCCCCAAAGTATCTTGGTCACTTTCATCGGATCTGACACAGGTTGTCCTAGGTAGGCTAACCCATTGACAATGTCAGTGAATCTGCTGAACATGTCAGTCACAGACTCATCAGGCTTCATCTTAAACGCTTCGTACTGCTGAAGTAGAATGTTTATTTTTGTCTCCTTCACTCGGTCAGTCCCTTCGTATGTCACGTGCAACCTGTCCCAGATTTCTTTTGCTGTTTCACATGAAGAGATACGGTTATACTCAGAAGGAGATAATGCACAGTATAAATAATAAACGGCCTTAGCATCTAAGGCTTCTCTTTTGAGTTTATCAGCATCAGATATGGCTTCATATTCGACTAGCTTCTTGCTATCTTCATCTTTTGATGACGAAACAGCTCGAGGTCTTATTCCTCTCTGGACTACGTCCCACTCCAGGGGATCCTTGGATTTGATGAACGCTTTCATCTTGTTCTTCCAGATGTTGTAGTCCTTGCCATCGAAGTATGGAGGCCTTGTGTCACTCTCACCTTCCATTAGTCCTGGTGCAATATTACTAGCCATTGAAAATCGTTAGCTCAGAAGTTATAATGCGCTTCAAACAATGAGCAACCAGGCTCTGATGCCAATTGTTGCGACTAGATAGATCACTTAGAGAGGGGTGAATAGGTGATATTACGGAAATTAAAACAATTTATGAACAATATCGCAACAAAACAACGTTAGGAGAATAACAGTCAGATCTTACTGATGTGCAAGTATTTCTATCAAGAAAATAAAGAGAGTAAGTATAGAAAATTGCACACAGATGTTTATAGTGGTTTGGCTTTATACAAGCCTATGTTTACTCTCCCGCGCTAATAGCCAATCGGCTGGATTCCACTAGATGAACCAATAAGAGGTTACAAGATCTGAGTAATAAATACTCAAGCTCGTGTGATCAACTCCTCACACACGCTCAACCTCTAAATGGTTACACGGTATAGCTCACACAGGCGTATGTATATGATCGGTAACACTCTTTGAACTTTGGAATCGTAGGCCTTTTTCTCTTGCGGTCACACACTATCACCTTTCGGCCTCGAGACCTCCTTATATACTACTCCCTTGCCCAAGCTGACCGTTGGACAAATCTCCAGGAAGATTCTCCAGTCAATCTACCCGTTGACCTGGGTCTTGTATAGAAGATCTGATTGCTTCAAGGTTGCCGAGAATAGCGCCTCCCATGGATTCTGCCACCCATATAGCAGATAGGGTTTCCATAAGTTGAGTACTCCGATTTGGAAAGAACATATCGCCTCAATTTTGTTCCAGGAAGTTCAAATCTCCCCGAGATAATTTAGAGAACTTTCCTTTTGGAACTCCTTGTATATAAGGCAGGAAATCCAGCTAATCTCTAGTAGCCGTTGCACGAGGATATCGATTCCTTCCTAGCCATTAGACAGAACTAATACGGTAGGAATTTCGACCATAACTTTGGTTCTGAAAGATAACATCTGATAGTACCTCATCAGCCTTTCCACCTGAACCATCAGAAACAAAGTTATTTTCTTCAGATAAGTTTTGTCATTCTTCAAAACCTTTTAGGGAGTGTTTTCTCAACAGCCAGGCGTTAGGCATGGAATCTTCTCAGAGGAAAAGAGACAACTTTTATGTCCTAACTCGTTTGGCACTAACACCGGCTTCGAACTTTTCTAGACACACTCAAAAAAGAGTTTGTTTTTTCTAGAGAACTCCCAAGACTTCACTAACATACACAGCTCAGTTAGTCCTATTATATATCTTTGGTGAATAATGCAGACATTTGAGCTCACTAAAGGAAGCTGCACTGACAGAAAACAAAACCAAAACAAATCAGAAGACACGCAGAAAAGAAGAGAAGGAGGAGGAATTGACTGAGGATGTCCACTACAGCAGCTGAAACGACTCTCCGGCGTGTCCTCGATGGAAGCTTGTCATTGAATGACACGGAGATCGAGTGAAGGCCTTACCACCGTAACTGCAATTGCGCTCTGCACAAAGCAAAGGGCGGTCGTTCCGGTTGCTCTCGACATAACAAGATATCTTTCGCCAAGAAAGAGTCAAGGGCGGATTCATCTTTGTCAGTGGCAACTCGCAAGTTCTCTCCCCAATCTTCCTTTTCGGTCAAAGGTAGAGAAAACTCTAACAAAGGAGCTTCGTCATGATGCATAATAGAGGCACCATGACTGCTGGATGTAATTAGATGGAGGACAAGAACTAGCAGAAACATAGGAAATCGGAGGCGAGAGGCTGTCCTTCGTTTGTTCCCTCAAGACAACAAAAGTATAGGAGGTGTCACACCCCGAAATCTACCAGGATGGGGGATGACACGGCCGTCCTTCCACCTGAAGGACGCAGCCTCAAATCACCCAAAAGTCCCCATGACATCGCTCTCGCTCTATTGGCTGCTAAATAAAGAACCTGAAAGATTGGGAAAAGAGGAGGGTGAGCAACGACAGCTCAGTAAGCAGTGTGTATCTCTTCTAAGCAGATCGAGCAACTACTATGCATATATAAAAATATCGAAAACTCATAATTTAAACCCACGATATCATATACATATCATATCAAATATGAGTTATTTTTCCTTTTCACAAAACTCGATACAAACTAGAAAACACTCATTTAAATCAATAATATCAAAGCAAAAACCAATGGTCCATTCCATTTGCCAATCTTATCAAAAAAACACGCGCCAATGGTCCATTCCATCGGCCAATCTCAAATCACACATCAATGGTCTATTCCATTAATGAATCTCATCATAAAAGGCCTCGTTCGGGGTAGAGGCGTAACCGCACTGCCATCCCTCAACCCGACCCGATATTATCCTTTTTGAGCCGCAGCCGCACTGCCATCGCTCTCAAGGATTTGCCCCGGCACAGCAAAAAAAACACATCGATGGTCTATCCATCGACCAATCTATTGCTCGATATCAAACCATGATCACGTATCTCGCCTCGTGATAAGGCGACCAAGATTCCCCCCTTGGCAAGGTCTCCACCTACTATAAGCCGGTGGCTCGGCCCACAAGGATATCCTAAACTAGTATGCGCATACCCACAAGCCCCTCAATGGGCTCATAGTGATATTGAGCATCAACACACATCCTCAAATAATCCACAATACCAAATCCAGAAATCATTTCATAACCCATATCATAAATCACGATATGGTTCCAAAACCATTTCATAATCCAATTTATAATCAATCTCAGAAAATGGTTTCGCAAACCAAAACGTATAATCTTTCTTCGTCAAACAGAACACATTTCACAAATCAAGTATATGATATTTCACAACTCAACTCAACTCAACCACTAGAAATCCTTTTTATAAAGTGTTTCTCAAATCATTCGAAAACTCATTTCATAAATCAATTCACAAAGGGGTACACATATATCCTTTAATAATACATTTCATACAACCGTTCTCAAATCTCTCTCAAATACAAAATGGCAGTAATTGCTCGATCCAGATTTTTATGCACTAAACATGTTTATTAACTCATACGATACTCAAATGCTTATCACTTTCAAAGCATGAATTTATAAACCCAAAGAAGAGATAGCACCACTCACCTGGAATGCCCCAAAACCAATAACGCGCCTAAACACCCCGATAATCTCGTAATCCTATCAATTGAACGATAATCGACATCAAAACCAAGTAAAATACTACAATAATCACTAAACGGCTAAACGACGCTTAAACACTGACAAGACAATTCAAAGACGCCCACAAATTGCTCATCCAAAACCATTATCCAAATCGTCCGCAACGCGGAACTTGAGCGCGAAACTTGATTGCGCCATAACTTTCTCCACCGAACTCCGATCCTAGCAAACTTATAGTCAAAAGAAAGCCCGTTCCGAGTATTACAAAAGCCCCAACTTTGCCATCCCAAAATCGAGCCGAAAACCAACTAAAATCGGCCTAAAGCCCACTGGTCGCGCACTATTCACCATGTGCGGCCAACTTCAAAAATTCATATTGGGCAAACCGTAAGTTCAAATCAAGATCCGTAAAATCCCACGGCTCCACAACACCACAAACTATCAATTCTATAAAAATACGCAGCTCGACGACCCAAAAATCGGACTTCGCCGCTTGAATCTCTTATAATTCCGAATTTCAAGCCCTAAATCCGAAACTACTCCGATGGAACAAACGAGGGACATGAGTTCTTACCGGGCGTTGCGATACGAAGTCGGATCGGCTAGGCGAGGTTCGCGCGGCGCAAAACCCTTCTTTTCTTCTTCTATTCCTCTCTTTCTTTCTTTTCCGTTTCTGCTTTCTCATCTCGGCCTCCTTTTTAATTTGGCCGAAGTTCACCGTAGCTTCTGTTGACTTGTTGACTCGCTGACCTTTTTTTTTTTTTTTTCACGAAAGCCCACGCTCT